TTACACGAATGATGTGATTCGCTGTTCTCTCTACCTATTTTCCTCTTATTCGACCGATTTTGCTTGTGCTTGATTTAGTGCATCTCAGATATCTTTGCTGGGTTGAAGGCATCTGCCTTCTGCTGGCTTCCGGAGCCAGGTTTCAATTGCGAATATATGGTTTTACGTTCCTCCCTAGTTTTTTCTTTTCTCCCTGAGGGAGACTCCCTCCCTTTAATTCTCTATGGTTCATAATGATACTCGTAATCGCGCAGCAATAACTAAACGTCGTCGCGCGTATACAGCTCGTCGTCGTCGCCGAGAGGCCTTTGCTCCGGTCCCGACGGAAGGCAACCTATGTCAGCCAGTTGCGGCTGATCCTCCCTCGCAATATTCTTCCTCCGGTCAAGGTGGACTGGCTGGGTGTGTTCTCGAATACCTTGACTCTCCTGAACAGTTGGGAAGGGACCGATTATCTGAACAGACAGCAACCCAACATATTCGTGTCACGAATTTCGTGATGGTTCGGGTCTGTCCGCGACTCTTCCAACTAAGCGTACCTTGGGGGGTCTTAGAGTCGGCCCCCCACTGCACGTGTGATGTTGCGTCAAACTTCACCTCGACTATACAACAGTTCAACCTGACTGAGCTTATTTCATCTATCAAGGGGAGTCCGTCTCCCGCAGAAGCGCAAAGGCTTGATTCCACTTTCAGAGAAGCCGCCAAGTTCTGTTGGGCATCTTTGGCGCCTTGGTTACATTGTTCGACTAGGTACTCTAGATGTGGTTCCCGAATCCAAGCTGATCTATTACGAAGCCTTATCGCGGTGCTTGCCGACCCAGACCGTTCCTTGGCGAATTCTGTTGATGAAGGGGTTGAGTTAGGCATTGACCGGACTTTACCAGCCACGGGCTTGTTCCCTTCGTATGAGAAGGAGGAGGATGAATCTCTGCAGATTCTGCGCCTTCGCCGATTAGCTAATTATGCCAGTGTTGAAGCTAGTTTTAACCTCACCGAGGAAATCATCCAGGAAGAGGTCAATAAAGGGCGAATGCGTCGTCTACCCGACTCGGGACTTCTGTCCGATGATCTGGTTTTTGCTCGTATGGTTTTACTGACAAACGTTCCGAAAACTCATGGGGATCCTCCTTTCTATCGCATCGCTGAGGATTTTAGGCGTAATGGTCTTAATAACCAGATGTCCTGAAACGGTTTCCCTACCACGGTTAGTCGATCTTCGGCGAAGCTTGGCAGACTTCCTCGGTGGTCTTCGACTCATCTGGGAGTCACCTGCTGGTTGTGCTCGCCAGTCGTCTCTCACAGAGGATGATTTATTACCCGCTTTCTTCGAGTATGATATAGAGTCTGCATTTCGCCATTTATTCGTCCATCTACACGAGCGCCATCGATTATGTGTCACGGTTAACAATCACCGATATCAGCATCTAGCTCTCCCATTCGGGTGCGTCTGGCACCTTACCATTGGTGTCGGTTTGCTGCCTGTGTGGTTCGGTTACTGGGAATAATTGTTCGTTATATTCTCCGAGAACTCCCTTGTTTAAATCTCATATATGTTGATGATGAGCTTTTGGCTGTAGCTCAATGCCGGTACGTCGAATGCGTCGCAGTGTGCCTGTTACTATGGTCCGTGTTCGATGTAGATTTTTCCTGGCTCAAATGCGTTTTGAATTGGAAGTCAGCGAGTTACATCGGATACGTCCTTGACTTACAGCAGTGGCGATTGTACCTTGAAGTTCGTAGTCACGCATCATCGCAAAAGTTCGTGAGTCACGAACTTTTGCGATGATGCTGCGACGAATCGTGAAGAGTTGGTCACGAATCGTGACCAACTCCCTCCTACTTGACTCTGTAGAATGCTAATCTGTCTTATCCGTACGAACGTTTGGTTTGTGTTGCCTCAAGGTACTCTGGGGCTCTTTAGTTGATTCCAGTTCGTGGTTCAGTAGTCTCCTCTCAAGCCTCTGTGCTGGAAACCCTTACCTTCCGTTCAACATAGCTATCATCGCGCTACAAGTGCATCATCAGCTAGTACAAGTCATTCGTCGGTGCCCCCTCGACGATCGGCATCGGGTTTATGCAAAAAACATCGAGCTCTCCTGGCAGTGCACACCGCCTCTCCTTCATCCGTGAGCCAGTTTTGTCTTAATGGTTATGCTTCATCCTCTCCAAGGACTCCGTCTGCACTTTCATTTTTTCTAAGACAACAGCGGGCTACGCTTACTCTACAGTTTTCCGCTACTTAAGCTACATCAGGGCGAAGTCCAACCTTCTCAGTCAGCCACCGCTAACTTCCAACGCTGAGTTCTTCATATCCTTGGCACTACGTTCGTTTGCCAAAATCCTGGGCAAGGGGCAACCACTGCGTGCTCAGTGAGCACTGCTCACACAGTGACCATCGACCAGCTGCCTCTTGTTCTCCGCTCTTTATGTCACGATCACGGAACCATGTTCCTTCTAGGGACGGTGGCATTACTACGAATCGGTGAGTTGACGTCCTTAAGGAACGTTGACCTTACGTTTTCACACGACCTGCTCCTCATCCGTCTACCAAGGAGCAAGACTGACCAATTCTTCGAAGGAGCTGTTGTTCCGTTGGCCAGGCTAACTTGGCCTGCCCTGCTGGCACCAGCTGCTCATCAACTACGTGCTCCCCTACCATATGCGCCGTTCACCGTATCCGTAGTTGGCTGGCGCTGAACCGTATGACAGCAAGCTCAGCGACTGCATTATTCACTGACTCGACGGTACGTACCTTTCCTGATGCTCTCCATATAGCTCTCTCAACACTGCTCGGAGATTCTGCTCGATGTACTCCGCGTGCAATGCGACGTTCAGGGGCGCTAATAGCCTTCCGTCACGGAATGCCGCTCGAGGAGATTGCTCTGCTTGGACGCTGGAGCGGCACACAGACTTTGGTTGAAAATTACCTTCTTGCTGTGCGCAGCCAAACGCGAGATCTGTAGGCTTGAACGTTCACCAAGCAGCGGGGAGCGTTCCCACCGCGGGAATCCCGCGAGTTCCGAGCTATCTTGATCGCCTTCAGATTAGTCGCGGACAGTGCCCGACTTCCAGTCCCCATAGTTAGAGGTTTCATGAAGCTCAAAACACGCCTTTGAGCGCGGACCCGGTTCTCGCGGTTGAGCGGCAGATAAGCAGTTTGTGCTGCTGTAGCCTGGAGACGCATCACACAGTGTAGAGCCTACCTTCGTTTCTACTTTCAATTAGCTGGGATATCGTCGAAGGATTGCTGTACGAATCGACGATGGGGGCTCCGGGGTTTCGCTGGCTGTCTATTCGTACAGAGGCAGGCTATGGGATCAAATTGTTCCAGTTAGCAACGTGGGTATGCCCGCCAAGCATTCGCGCAAGTCAAAAGTGTGAAATGAACTAGAATATCGGTCTTGTCATCTCACTTCCCCAGTCTAGACTTACGGATATCCGAGCTTAGTTTAAGTTGGATCCAACGGTTATCCTTACGTTCATTATATGGCCAGTAATATACTCGATTCGTCCAATGTACGGTGAGACGCTCACCGTGAGAAGCTCTCACTGAATCTCAGTGACTGAGAACTGTGGATCCAAATCAGCATTCACTATGTCCATTGTGGAACTGCTTTCACCTTACATTGAAGTCCTACATACTCTCCCGGAGGCGATGGTGATACTTCGTTCCACTGGAACGGTTTCAGCAGCATTAGATATGTCAAGAAGTATTTTCCGGCATTCCGGCATTTTGTTTGCATTTCCACATCTTGTCTTGTTCGGATTGAGCAATGTTGCTTACGACTTGCTGAAAAGCTGGATTCGTTACATGGCATTTTAAACATCCTCACCATGATGCTCAAATGCAAGCGTTCCACATGATTTTTGTGAATGAACAACATCAGTGAGTTGCTGAGAAGTGAGTTTCTGTCGCGCTGGGTTCATTTGAGCATCTTTGATAGGTTGCTGAAATGACACAGGAGCCTTGAATACAACTCACGAATGCGATCCTGCATTCCAACCTGCACTACCGCATGATGGCGTATCTATGATACATTAATTGTAACTACACCTCATGCAAACGTAATTGCCCATTCATCCCGGCCGAGTCGCGCCCTCTGCCGGAGATTCAAGATGCAACAATTCATCCAGTGAAACACTTGAGGGACGTGAATCAAAGAGCGATGAGCGAAATCACAATCAGATGTCGCCCGAGTGCGATTCACTAGTACGGGTTAACGAAAGCTCACTTCCCGAGAATTTCCGAAATCTGTCTGGATATCTACGCTTAGTGTCTTAGAGGTGAGCAAGAAGAAACACTCTCCGACTCTGGGAGTCTATGAGAGCTGAAGAGCAGTGCCAGCCAACTAGAGCTGACTATATAACACAGATTGATGCCAGCCAACTAAAGCTGACTATATAACACAGATTGATGCCAGCCAACTAAAGCTGAGTATATAACATAAATTGATGCCAGCCAACTAGTTATATTGACTTTCGTGACAGTTATCATGGCTCCAGCGACGAAAGTCTCCATGGCAAGTTACCATTGGTAACTCTCATCGTCAGAGTTGCGATCTGGATTTGGCATGATGATAGGCTGAACGGGCAGCGTGCAACACTCAGACATCGGATCCGTTACTTCGGCGGAATTGAATATACTATCAGCGAAACCGATTCCCGCATTTCGTCGAAATTGGACTTACTTGATACAGACAAGCCGGCGAAATTGATTGTACTGACGGTTGGAGGTTCCCTCCGTTCTTTCGGACCCATGATGCCGCAGCGTTGCACCCGGCCTAGCTCAAGCGGCAGCTGCCGCGCCGACTGGGTCTTTGGGTTGCGCGGCTACCGGGGTCGCGAGCTCGGCTCCCCCATTGCGATATTGCTTAATCGCGACGTCCAGCTGGGTCTCAGACTTTGCTTGCTGCAATGTCCTCTCCTGCGAACAGCTCCAATTCGGACGGCACACCCGTCGACGGCCAAGGCCCTCTCGGCAGAAGCATCCGCGTCGACAGTCAGGGCTTGATCATACAGCCCCACATGATGGCCTCGGCGGTGCTGGTCCGGTCGGCACGACTCTCGGTCTCGATACGGCCAGCGGGGACCCGGGCACCACGGCCGCCCCCTATCCTGGGCCTCTGCAAAGTGGCGCCAGCTGCGGAGTCACTTCCGGGAAGCCCGTTACCATCGACGTTGGCGAAGCGGCAGCAGAAGGCGCTGAAGTTCCGGAACAGTCTGGTCTGTACCCCGGCTCCGAGCTTATACTCCCGCCTGAAGTTGTGAGCTTCATCCGCGAGAAGCTCATGCCCACCGGCCAATACGACGTCTCACCGTCCTGGTGCGTAACGGCATAGTGGTCCCGGAACTCTACAAGAATATGGGCGATTGCGCCGAACTTGCAAGCGGTCTCCGCAACCCGGTCAACATTTACGCTCTAAGGGCCTTGAGCGGCCTCTTCTGTACGAAAGCTAAGGGCTCGGAGGCTCAACCCGAGCCTGCTGTCGAGCTGATGCGGCAGAAGTTCGAGAAGGCGTACAACGTACATATCCCTTCAAGGTATCTACTCTCGGCTAAGATCTTCGCCAAGATTCGTAAAGGCGAACCGGTGCGCGAGGACGAATGCGGTTTCGCCCCAGTGAGCGCCAAGATGAAAAGGCGCATGAAACACAACGCCGACACCGGTGAAATTGAGGTTGTGGAAGACGTCTCACGCCTACCCCGCTCGTCGTTCGGAGCCGCGGATTTGCTGCTGAACATATCGAGGTGGTTGATCGGCCACTGCGTGCTGCAGAAGCTCAATCCTGCGGAAGCACTCCTCTATCTAATGAGGTTGTGCGACAACTGCCTGCAGTCGGACATCCACACCCTATGCGCTTGGACGCAGAGATGAGACTCGAAGCCATCGCC